ATGCTCTCGCGTGTATGTGTGTGCAAGTATACTTATCAATGCAGATATGTGCAAAGGCCAGAAGTTGACATTGAGTTGTCTCTTCAGTCATATTTCCTTTTTATTTACATTTGAGATAGGTTTCTCACTAAACCTGGCAAACACTTCGGATCATCCTGTCTCCCTCTACTAGCACTAGGGTTACAGGCATGAGCCTTCCTCCATGCCTGGCTTTTATGTAGATACTGGGGACTTGAACTCGTGTCCTTATGCCTGAGCATCTCCCCAGCCCTATAACAGTTTTGATGATTGTAATCAAAATCTAAAATCCAATACATGACTGATTTCACTAATGTTGTGGACTTTTTTTTTTTGTCTCTTTATTCTTCCAGGTTTTGTACCATGTATTTTGACCATATTCACACACCCTACCTCCTCCTATATCCACCATTCCCTCTCTACCCACCCAACTTTTGAGTTTTCTTTCCAGTTGTTACAGTTAATGTAGCCCCAACTATTCTTGGGAGTGGAGCGCAATTGGTATTTAACAGTGTATTTCTGTCTATAGTCAAAACAGAGTTTATATGTGTATACATGAGTAAAATGTTTTATTCTTTGGGTCTTCTAGAAACATTAGTCCTATATTCCTGTTGGCTGCATCAGGATAAAATTTCCCCACATACCCTAAGGAGATTATTCCCTTTTCACTTCTGGCTAGCTACTTGTATGTACACGTGTGTATATACACATACACCCATACACTCACACACACTTATGCACACAAGCACGCCTACACTCACTTTCACTAATCAGGCACTTATTCTCTTTGCATTGTTGATGGAATTATAAATTTTTGATAGCTTTCTAATTTGGTAACAGCTGTCAGAGTCTGTTTTGCTAACATTGTTTCATATTTTGATCCTCTACTTTTCTGTGCACCAACTGTTTCATCTCTGTAGAACCTAGTTTTCATTAGTGTGTTATGAAATCATTTTATCATGACCTTATCAGAAATTAACATTTCAACTCATTTCTTTTTGCCACTTTCTCCCTCCTAATTTTGTTTTTTTGTTTTGTTTTCTGTTTTGGGATCCATATTTTCTTATTAGGTATTCTACTCTTACAAAAGACTCTTTAGAACAAGTAAATATAAAATGGTATATGTCACATTTAGCAGTGACCAAAGATATGCGTTCTTGGTATTCTTCACAGGAATAAACTAATAAAATCTTCAGAAGCACAATCATTCAACCCACCTCCCAATTTTTTAAAAACAACAAAAAGGGTCAGTTTTTAACAGTGTATTATCTAAGTAAATCTAACACTACTCAGAGACAGATATTTGAATGAATGTGTTTTTAAAATGCATGTGTGTACAAACACACAAAATATGATGTTGCCCAGAAACTCCAACTAATGAATAATCTCACAAGATTAACTTCCCAGGTGCCACATCACAACTCTCCAAAAGTGGAGATAAACCCCAGAAAGCCCAAATCTAAGATGCAGTATAGTGTCTCCTCATGATCAGTTGGGAATCCTATGACAGTCACAAGGCATGTGGGCTCAGCGATGGGTTTACAGTCTAACCTCTGCACAGTGTCTTCACAGACAGCGCTTCACAGTCAGGGCGGATCATGTCCATCTCGTGAGACACCTACATGGCACTGCTGCTGAGTCACACTTTGTGATAATTTACTAATTCAAATGGAACTCCAGAGCAAATAGCTATGGAGTACGAATTTGAAGACAGATGGTATAAATATCAATTGATTCAAACTTGCCAGGAACAATCTTTTATTTTCCTTTAAGTACAGAAAATTTGTGTATAATCAAGAAAATTAAATCTCATAATAAAAATACCCCTACAAACAGTGTGTTCAGTCAGGTTCCACATGGATTGTATGTTGATTCACATTCTGCTCTGCTGGGGTACTTTCGTCAGCCTCATGATAAGCACATCCCTTCTGATAAGCATACCCCATCGGTTCTCAAGAAAAACTGCAAAAGCAGAGAAGAGCTGGGATGTGTTAGGAAACTCCATGATAATGCAGTTCATCTTCAAGCAGGAGAACTTCTCTCTGGCTTTCAATTCCTGTTTCTATATGATCTTCTATAGGTACAACCTTTAATTTAAGAGAGTCCCCAAGTGCTGTATCTTTATAATCTGTGGTATAGACCTAGTCATATGGTTTAAGGACTTCTCTTACTTTCCTGCCCCTCCAGCACAAGCTGCTTTAAGCATTCCTAGGCAGTTGTTTACACGTCTTAGTGCATCTGTGGCATTGAACTCAGTTCAGTGGCTCAAAGCTAGTCATGCTAAGTCATTAAAGTGCTGTCTCCAAGCATCGTATCCCAGGAATAGATAGCATATGCAGCCCATCACCTGACTCCCTTCACTTGTTCAGACTCCATAGTTCGGTTCTTGCCACCATCAACAGAGAAGTGTTGATGGCTGTTCCGGAATCTGTGATCAAGGCCAAAGCTGAGCGTCTTGGTTGTGGCTGCTTGACATGGCTGTTCTATTACCATCCTTTTTTCTTTTCTTTTCTTTTTTTCTTTTTCTCTTTTTCTTTGAGTCAGTCTCATGATGTTGCCCAGGCTGGCCTCAAACTCTCTCAGCTTAGCCAAAGCTCGTTTAGACCCCTACTCTTTCTGCTTCTGTGTCATGCTTACATCATAACAGATATGTGTTCTTGCCTCTGTGTCCAGCTCACTAACTTGTTATCAGTGGTGGTGGTAACTTAAGCATCCAAATATTTGAGGAACCAAAGAGAACATTCAACATACCTGTCTCGTTTTGACTGTTTCATTCATTGTGTTTTTTGTTTGTTTGCCTGAGATTTACTACATTGATTCCTTTTTTTGCTCCCATTTCTATTTATGAGCTATGGTGTTAAGGTCATAAATTTATGGTCTTTTTGGTCAGAACCACAGATTTAGGTGGTAACCCATATATACTGCTAAATAGCTTTTAAAAATAATTTGGCAAACATTTTTTAAAAATATGTGTTTCTAAGTGAGTTTTATTGGAACTGGTTAAGGGAATGTAGGATTAGATATACATGCAGGGTGGTCATTTTTGTGTGACTTATAATTGTTTCTGAGCATGAAGAATTGGCTTCCAAGAAGTTTCTACACACTGTGATGACTTGTTCCTTATGGAAAGAATGCTCTACTTCCTCAGACTCAGAAGAACTGATTTGGATTTACAGTTGGATTGAAGAGGGTCTGAGGAAAGAAGGGTTTGTGTGCATTGTTGGTGAGTGCAGGAGGAGGCTAGTTCATCATAGATTCACAGAACTCAGTACTCTACAGCCCTCAGACACACTCACATACACACACACACATGGTAAATGACTGTTTGATCTGTCATTCCTGTGTTCTTACCACTACTTCAACCTTTTTTTGACTTTCACTTTTCACCCCTCCTATGTTTCCCCTTGGGGAATGTGTAACTAACTGAAGTAAAGCTCAGAGAGTTTTGTTAGTATAAAACTCTTTAAGGAATTCTAAAGAGAATTTCTTACAATAGGATCATAGCCCAATCCCATTGCCATCCTTAGAACTTCAACGTAAACCTCTGTAGACCGAGACTGCTTGTTCGTTTCCCAGCTGCCCAGACCCGAAATAACCACACAGAAACTGTGTTATTATAGCACTGCTTGGCCTATTAGCTCATGCTTATTGACTAGCTCTTATATATTAAATTAATCCATTTCTTTTAATCTGTGTTTTGCCATGTGGTTGTGGCCTACTGGTAAGGTTCCGTACGCATCTGTCTCCTGCAGTGACGGCTACATGGCTTCTCCTTGACTCTGCCTACTCTCTCTTCTAGCCTAGCTATATCCTGTTAAGCCATTGGCTGAAAGCAACTTCTTTATTAACCAATGGTTATAAAACATATTCACAGCATACAGAGCGGAATCCCACATCAAACCTCTTCATTCTAACATTTGCCCTTTCTTCTCAGCTTCAAAGCTTTGTTTTTGAAAATAGAACCCATCACTATATCTACATCTACACCATCTGCTAAAACTAAGCTTACCAGGGTCCTCCCTGCCTCCACCATCTCCTCTTCCCGGTGTACTAGTCAAGTTCTCTGGACACTTTTCAGTCCTTTCCTGCCTGTGCCTCTCCGCAGCATATGCCACTCTTCTGCAGCCTGTTTGGCCACACTCTGTCTTTATATCTGTTGGCATGCTCTCCTAGGTGGTGTTGTGGTTCCTTGTGTGTTTCATAGGATTTGGGTTTTTCTATCTAGGATGTATTGACTGTCTGTCTCTAGCTATTACTGCTAGCTACCCTTGGAGATCCTGAGGATAGTGGCTATGCCATATCATTGTGACTCGGAGCCATCAGTCCCTTGCTCATAGTAGAAACTGTAAGCAAGAGAAATTAGCCATTAAAATGAGACTCACTTCCAAAGTTCTTTTTTATGCCTCTACAGAAACATATCATTATGTAATTTTACTTGATGTCATTGGTTTTTTTAAGACTTTTTTTATTGAAAATAGCTTTTGTTTGTTTTTTTTTTCCTCACATAATATATCTTGGTTATGTTTTCCCCTACCTCTATTCCCATTCCTCTCCAACTCTCCCATCTGGACCTACCCACTTTCTGTCTCTGTAACATGAGGGCCAGCTTGTTGGGGTTTCTGTCCCGCCCAGTACCCCAACAAGCCAGCAAGTCCCAAGGAAAATCACACGGAGTCTACATCAGGTTATAAACTGATTGGCTCATTAGGTCAGGCTTCTTGTTAACTCTTATAACTTATGTTACCCCATTATCCTTATCTACTTTAGCACATGGCTCTGTACCTTTCTCAGCTGGGCAAGTTACATGCTGCCTCTTCAGTGATCTGCGCAGGAGTGAAGGAATGGCTTCCTGCTTTCCAGGATACTCCTGTTTTCATTGCATCACCTCTACTTCCTGTCTGGTTTTCCCACCTATACTGCCTGCCTGGCCAATCAGCATTTTATTAAAATATGATTGACAGAATACAGACAATTCTCCCGCACCATGTCTCTCATTCGAAAATAAACAGGCTTCTAAGGGATAATAATAAAATATAATACAATGTAATATAGTAAGGATAGGACAGAACTAGCACAAGAAAAAGCTCAAGAAAAGGCACAAGAAACATGTGGATGTAGAGACCCACTCATTGACACACTCAGGCGTCTCGTAACAACACTATACCAGAAGCCATTCTATGTACACAAAGGACGCTCCTTTCACCTGCTCTTCAGGGTCCCAAGCCCTAGGGGATGGATTTGACAGGGACATCTCATTTAGGGCAATAGTATCTTTTTGATCATTGTGCCTAAATGTATTCCCCCTCTCCCAATACAGTTCATACCCATTTCCAATCTAAGAATGTTTCCTTCCTTAGAAACTATTGATATCCTTGAATAAAGCTTACATTCCATTTATTCTGGTTTCCCTCCAGGAATACTACTGTTCAGTAGCCAACTTTTCATTGACTCTCTACCACAGTTCTCATATTTCACTTTTTATTTATTTTTCTTTCTTCTCCATCCTTTATGTTTCTTAATTGAATACTGAGTTTTTAATACCATAGCAGTCCTATTTCTTAACACTTATAAGGAAGTGTTTTCTATAATTTTGAAGGATAAAATAATATCTCAACTTTGTGAATGTTACCATATGTCTACAATGATAAGAATGTATCTGTGAACTACCACAAATTATATGCCTCTGGTCTCTGAAAACAACTGTAGAATTTCTACCCTCTAGTGAGAAAGGAGTAGATATGAAAGGAACTAATATTACTGAAAGTTGGTGGTTTTCCAGGGACTGTGCTATGATCCTATTTATTTCTTACAATATTCCTATGGAAGGATTTTTATTTACATTACAGAGGTAAAGCAAATACTCTGAAGATTAGCTACTTGACAAGGTCAAATAGCTAATGAATACTTGAGCCAGGCGGTCAGTGCCAAACTTTTGTTCTTCAGTAGTAGTGTATTATTTCACATGGCCGTCCACATCTCTACAAGAAACTCCCATTCCATCTATCAATCATAGTCTATTTTTCTTTTCTTGCTATTACTCTCAAATTTCATAGGCTGTTCTTCAGGCCTACAAAAAGGAAATTAAAAGTAGAGATTTTTAGAATAAACACAAAAAGCAGCAAAAAAGCACTTGCTTTTAAGCCCAGTATGAGAGTGGTCACAGAAAACTATATCAAGCAGTCTAAATATACCAAACCTCATAAAAATTAGCAGATATGTCTCTGTGTCCACTTTGTTATAATACTGTATTGTTTATGAACAATATAACTATGGTTAGAGTCATTAAAGAAGGATTAAATTATGAAGTTAGAGAGAGAACCCAGAGGGCAAAGACTTAGGATATAAGCATTAACATCTCAGTTTGAATCCTTATTACCCATATAAATGCCAGTGATGGTGCCACACACTTATGAGTCCCGTGATGAGGGGGGTCACAGACACAGGCAAGTTCCTGGGGCTTGCTGGCCAGCTGGTCTCCTTGAGCTGCAGGTTAGGTCAGAGATCCTGTCTCAAAACAATAAAATGGAGAAGCAAATGAGATGACATCCCACTTTCAACCTTTGGCCTCCACACATGTGTACGCAGGTAAACTGCACCAGAAAGCACAAATACACAAAGAAAGATAAAATTGCATTCAACTTTACTCCAAGATGTCTAAAAAAAACCTGAATTTTAAATTTTCAAATTATAAAAAATGTTTTTGAGTTTCCAAATGATTGTCACAAAGGATGGATAAATTATAAATCTACAATAAAACAGAGTAGTGAGAATAAAGTTTCACTTCATGTATCAACATAGAACTTGTAACATATTTGAGTGAGAAATTTGAGTTGCAAAAAGTACCCTTATAATCATATTAATTTAAGATTTATAACCAAAGCTAGATATTAGTATTATTAAAGATGCATAACTATACAGCAAAAGTTTACAAAAGTCAGTATATTGGTAAGCACAAATTCAAGATGGTGGCTCTTCAACAGTAGGGAAGTGAAGGAGAAACCTTCGGTTAGGGACACATAGAACTGCAAAAGGATTAATAATGTTCTGTTTTTTAAGTTGATTATTAGATACCTCAGTTTCACATCATCATCAATGTGTATGATTTACACCTGCTTAAGATGTGTGTGTATGTATAAAAATGTTCAACAGCGTATTTTGATGGTATTATCTAGAGATATTAGATATTTAAAAGAGCTTTCCAAAGATATTTGACAGACGACTCATCATTGTTAGTATTATCAAATAAGATATAAAAAAACAAAACAGCTACATCAGGAAGCACATCTGAAACAATATGCATTTGTCTAAGGAAACTAATATTAAAATTTTTTGGTATGTACAATATTATGAACTATAAGTCTAATCTCCTAAATTATGATATGCTCTTTGTAAACATTATCTGAAATAATAACAAGACTACATTAAATTTTAGAGAAAACACCATCTAATTATAAGCTGTGAGAAATTTATAGAATTGTGGGGACCATTTTTGTCTTCTATTCATCATGAATGAGCATCTTTGGAGTAAAATTATTCTGTTGCAAAATGTAATTTCTTCTTTATGACTCAATAATTATATTTTTTTATTTACATGGATAGTAAGATAAACTAACTGAATTTCATTTCAGCATAGCTACAAAGAGTTTTACTAGTTTGTTGTTGTTGTTGTTGTAAAAAGAATCAAAACGAGCAAGGCTGAGAAAAAACTAATTTGTACTTCTGTGAAGTTTATAAATGATTTTCCTAAAGGGTTGAGAATAGGTCAGTTCTCAGCCAGGCTTGGTGACATATGCCTTTAATCCCAGCACTAGGGAGTAGGAGGCAGGCCAGCCTGGTCTGTAGAGTGAGTTTCAGGACAACTAGGGCTATGCAGAAAAGAAACCCTGTCTTAAAAACACCAAAATAATAGTAAGAATTGTTATTACATAATAATATAATATTATATAATAATTATTATGTAATTATATATTATAATATGTAGTATATAATTATTCTAATATATAATATAATTTGTGGTATATTATTATTGTATGATAATATATTATTATAAGAAAAAAGGATTAAGTAAACCTCTAAGAAAATTTATGTTAAGATTTAGGAATTTCTATGTGTTTTTATTGCTTTTACATTTTTATTACATGATAATCCACAATTAATGATTTAATACTGATTTATATCCAATATTATAAAGGAAATTTAATTTTCATTTCTTATATATTACATGTGAATGAAAAGACTCAGCTTCCCATTGGTTAAACTCTAAGACATATAGATATTTCTAAAGATTTTCAAATATTTCTCACATCTAAAAGCATTTTTTTGTTACACAGTAATTCCTAATTCTATTTATAATTCTGGGAAGATACAGAATGTTGTATTGTGAGTGGCAGATATCTTTTGAAACAGGTGGTTTGGGAACAGAATACAATCTAATGCCTTGTATCAGGGTCACTATATGTATATAATTTTTTTTTCTTTTCCTGGAACTAATCTCCTTAAAAGCTAATACTCCAGCACACAAACAATGCCCCTCCAGAGGGCTGAGTAAAGTGGGTCAGGAGGGGATTAAAGACTGGCGCTGCACTAAAGTGAAGCAGTGAAAGCTTTACTCTTACTTTCCTTCTGGTTATTTGAGACTCTTAAATTGCTGGTTAATTCTGACACCGTCCTTTTGCTTCTTCTTCCTTGCCCTGGTGTGTGAGCCCTTATTGTTCATCTGGGCATGCAATGTTTTCTTAGAAATTTCCCATTGCATTTGCTAGGGTTGAATATCTGTCAGCATTGAGTCCATTTACGCCATCAACAGCTCAGTTTCTGCCTGTGTTCTTCCCTTCCTTTTTATCCACTCAGTTCTCCTTTCAAAGTGTTTGTACCTGTCAGCACTGGGCCCTCAGGAGCCACCTTATTAGGCTTTAGTGTTGGAGTCTATAAATATGCTGGAAATCTACTAGATACAAAGCAGTACACATTCAGTATAGCGCTGGAGAAGATGTGATTGTTTGCAGTTTCACCAAGAGTCTTTTAGAATAAAACCAACTCAGAAAACTTCAGTAACAGCATCCTGTTTGCCCATTCATAGAAAGAACTGTGCTACTCTGAGGACAGCAAGTAGGCTTTTGAGCCTCTTCTATACAGTGGAGGGTTCACATATATTTATGTGGTTTTATAGAGAAAATTGTCAGTACTGAAGAAACAGTGGACAATGTACCTAACATGTTACTTGGTGGGAGGATTCCAACGCACAAGTGACATTCTGAGTATTATTTTTTCACTTGGACTTTTAAACACATTCATTATTTCCACACATTTTTCCTCTTCTCAAATCTATCAACTATAAAAGGAATTCTTAATTTTTGTTCACTCTAAAATAACTGACCTAACTAAACTAAGGTTTCCTCTATCTTTATCATTAAGTGGATCTTTATTTAAGGAAATGAGTCCTTAGTAATAACTGTTTTACCTAGATTGTTCATGCAATTTAGTTATATAACTGGTTTCCACGATCTCTCTTCAGACTTTTAGTACTTACTCTCCTCTCTTGATTTAAAGAAATCGAAACCTTTCTACATTCTTCTGTCAGAAACCAACATACTTGCTTCAATCTCTACACATCCTTTCACAAATTACCTGAGTGAGGTCTTGCCCCAAGGGTACCCTTTCCTGTCTTTCCAGTGCAGAGCAAGAGCTTCTCTAGAAAAAAAAAATGAGTACATTACTTTTTTCAAAGATGTATTTTTAATTTAGATGTATGAATGCTTTGCCTGTGTGTGTGTGTGAGAGAGAGAGAGAGAAAGAGAGAGAGAGAGAGAGAGAGACACTCTGTGTGTGTACCATGTGCATACCTGGTGCCTGAGGAGGCTGGGAGAGGTCATCACATATGCTGAAGCTGGGGTTATAGATGATGTGATCCGCTGTGTGGGTGCTAGGAACCAAAGCTGAGTCCTCTGCAAGAGCTGCTGGTGCTCTGAACCCCTGAGTCATTTCTCCATTCCCCAGGACAACGCTTTTTAATTTAGCCTATATAAATTCTCAAGACGTGGAAAAGGTGCGGGCAAAATTCTTTGCCAAAATCACATGAGTGGCCTCTAGTCTGGTTACTAATAGAATCCTTTTTCTTCTCTGAAGCCTCATGAGCTGGCACCTCTACTGTCTACGTTCCTCTCAGCACTGCTGTCTTCCAGGCTCCTATGAAAATCTGTCAATGTAATCCACCATAGAAACAAACTGAAAAATAAAAACCTCATGATCATCTCATTAGATGCCAAAAAAGGCTTTCGACAAAATACAACATCCTGTCATGATAAAGGTCTTAAAGAGAGCAGGGATACAAGGAACATACCAAACACTTCTTCGTCTTTATTCTTGCCAGTCTTATCTTCACTAACTGTATTTCCCCTGGATAGTTTATATCCTCCACTTCCTTCATTCAAATACCAAATGTCATCCGACAGGCTCTTTCAGATCACCATAGCTACAGCACGTCTCCTTCTCCTTACTCATTGTCCTTTAATTATTCTTCCTTACGTATATGTTTGGTATAGTTTCTCTAGTGGATTGATGTGTGATGTCAAAAGACAGCAGGAATTGCACCAGCCTTTACAATGGTCCTAGCTTAGTATCTGTTGAATCAGCAGTTTGAAGGAGGGCAGGAAAGGAACTCAAAAAAGGTAGAACCAGGAGACAGGAGCTGATGCCATGGAAAGGGCTGCTTACTGACCTGCTGCCCATGGCTTGCATAGCCTGCTTTCTTATAGACCCAGGATGGGATGACTCCACTCACAATGGGCTGCCCCATGACCCCAACAGTTTAAGACAGTACCCTACAGGCTTGCCTATAGCCTGATCTTCCGAAGGCAGTTTTTTCAATCAAAGTTCCTTCCTCTTTTAGCTTGTGTCAGGTTGACATAAAACAAGCCATCACAATGATATAAAGAAATGAGGCTTTTCCTCACGTAGTGGCTTGATTGAAAATATGCCCACAGACTCATAGAGTGGCATTAGTGGAGGTGTGGCCTTGTTGAAGGAAGTGTGTTACAGGGGGTGGGCATTGAGGTTTCAGAAGCTCAGGGCAGGCCCAGTGTCTCTCTCTCTCTCTCTCTTCATGCTGTCTGCAGATCCAGAAATAGAACTATCAGCTACCTCTCCAGCACCATGTCTGTTACTTGTGGTCATGCTTCCCTGCATGATGATAATGGACTAAACCTCTGAACTGCAAGCCAGCCTAACCTACAGTTGTTGCTTTTTATTATATATGAAAATACAAAATTCTTTTACAAAAGTCATTTATTCCTTTTAAAAGTATCATCAAAATAGTTATTTTGCTCTCCTACATAATACTTATTTTGCATTGACTTTCAAGGGAGAAAGTTCTACCTTTTCTCTTTCACTTAAAGGTAAAAACGAGCCAGGCGGTGGTGACACACGCCTTTAATCCCAGCACTTGGGAGGCAGAGGCCAGCTTGGTCTACAAGAGCTAGCTAGTTCCAGGACAGGCTCCAAAGCTACACAGAGAAACCCTGTCTTGAAAAAAACAAACAAACAAACAAAAAACCTAATTACGTTTGTAAGATTAAAACAATGGAAGGTAACAAAAAAATTTTGACTAATCACCATGTTTCTGATATTTTATCTTCTGTTTATTTGGCTTGCTTCTCTGTGGAACTAAAGAACCAGGCATGCATAAGACGTTCTATCTCAAGTTCTTAGAAGACGCCAAGATATTATCTGTGTTTAAGACTATCGAGATTCCTGTGTCTGCTCTCCCTGTGTTTGTAGATTTGTGGGTGTGCATGCAATGCCTTCGTGCTCTCGTGCTGTATCCTTAACATCACATGACAGATTCTAAACAAGACAATGAGTTATTTCTCCTTCTATTTATTCTCTCTGCCTGCCAGCCCTGCCTATCCTTTCTTTGCCTAGCTACTGGCCATTCAGTTTTTTGTTACACCAATCAGGTGCTTTAGGCAATCAGGTAAAACAAATGCCACACATCTTTACATAACTAAACAAACGCAGCATAAACAAAAGAAACACACCTTTACACAGTTACAGTAATATTCTGAAGCATAAACAAATGCAGCACATAGTTGCCAAGGTAAAATAATATTCCACAGTAAGACTATCCTACCTTGTCTTGGCAAAATTTAACAGTTGCTTTCTTTTATGTCTTACTTGTCCAATTTGCACAGCATATTCTCAGCAGTCAAGGCGAGGGCAGTCTCTTGCCCAAATGGTTAGCTTTGCCACATTGAAAGCAAGCTCCATATGGAGATTCTTTGATGCCTATCATCCTATTTTGAAGTAAATTGTTGCCTCTAGGAGCAAATGTGTCTCACTATCATGAAAAGCCTTATGTTATTAAAATATTTTAAATGCCATATTTGAAGGTCTTTGAAGAGTTTGAAGATAATCTAGCTATCTAAAATATATCTCTGCTTGACCTTTAAAACATACATAACATGGCCACAAATTTGATTATTAGATGACTAACTAAAAACTTGTATTTTTTAATTATACTAAATAGTTTGTAATACTAATTTTCAAGGATGAGAAATTTACATTACATTGTTAAATTAGCTGTAAGGTACAATACCTTAAACAAGCATAGAAACATATATGCAGTATAACAAAAATAACCTCAAATTTGTATCAATATACAGTAGTACTTTCAACAAGAGTAGAATATATATACATATATATATAAAACAAAATAACCTTATATCTGTCAATATACAAAAATCCATATGAGTGTAAAACATTTGAGATTATTGCTTTTAATTTAAAGTAGATCCAATAATCTACCTTTTATCTATAATTTCTATTTTATGTCCCCCCTTTTTCCCTTCAGAAAGAGATCTCTGAATCTGATCTCCTTTGTATAGCTTTCTACCTGACCACCAACAACTTGTAATCAACCTTCTTAAACAATGATAAACACCCATAATCCATCGAAGGACCAAACACCACCCAACATGGGTGTTGTATTCTTAAAGTTACTTCCTGTTGTCTAGGGGTGATGGCATCTTTAGAGGACCCTGAGAACATTGGGATATGATAGTCCTGGGTGAGCTCGCTATATCCTTTTTTGTTTAGTCTCTCTGTGATGGGAAAGTATAGAGCTTATGTCTTATGTCTTGGCTGGATAGTCTGTGAGGCTGGACCATCTCAGCTAGTAACTTTGAAGTTGTTCTGGATACAGAATTTTGAGGGAACTGCAACAGAGGCATTCTGGGAAGCTGGATCACCTGGGATCTTTATCTTTATTGGTAACTGATTCTTTTATTTTATTTTGGAAAACACACAAACTCAAAGGTAGCATACACAAGTATGGAATGTGCCTTGTGCACAAGTTAGCCGAAGATGATATTTTTTTTATGTTTGATCAGGAAAAAGGCATCTGTCAACTTTATAAGTCCATTTGGACTATATAATCAAACTAATATAAATTTATCCATGTCATATGAAAGGATATCATGTAATAATAAGTCATGAGGATTCTGTGGCCAACAAGATTTATCATGTCTCTTTCAGTATCAGAGCTGTTCCCATGTAGAGGGGCATCACCTGTTCTGTAGTCTTTCCTGGTTTCTTTCTCAAGTCTGTAACCAGAGATCCTCAGAAGCTCTCTCCTCAATCAAATCTGATATTTATTAATTTTGAAGAAATCCATAGCCTTTTGTTTTCTTTAGAAACAAATGAATAACCTCTCTCCCAGTGCAATATATTTCCTGACTTTTATCCTGAAGTTAAGACATCTTAAAGTATATAGATTGGATTAATATATCAGATTCCATATTCCAATGTCTGTCCACAGCTGTTGTTTTTTTTTTACTTTATTAGCATTAAAACATCAAAGTCAACAAAGCAACACAGGATTGAGGCATCCTGTGTATTTTCCATCTTTATGTGACTTATTCTTTTTACATTACTTTACTCTCTTTTGAAGACTGGATTATTTTTAAACTATTTATTTACTTTTCTATGACTATCTATACAATTATTTTTCTTTTTTTAAGATCTAAGCATATTTTTAAAAATATTATAACCAGTTCAGAGGTTTTCTGCACCTGGCTTTTTCCCCCCAGCTTTCTCAGGCCCTATGTGGATTTACATGCCATGCATTGGGCACCAAATGTAGGAAACTTTCTTCTTGTCAAACTGTCTTCAGACTGCCAACCCACAAATAATGATCCAGAGCTATTTAATTATGAAAGCTTGACCCTAGCTTAGGCTTTTTCCCAACTAGCTCTTATAACTTAATTAACCCATTTTTTAAAATCTACATTCTGCCACATGGCTCAGTTGCTTCTTCTTAGTACATCACATCCGACTTTCTGTGAGTGTGTAGGCAAAATCATATACCTAGATTCCTCCTCCAAATTTCTCTCTCTCTACCTGAAAGTCCTGCCTAATCTCTGCCTGCCTAACCATTGGCCATTTAGCTCTTTATTAAACCAGTCAGAAGGCACCTTGGCAAAGACACACCTTCACAGTGTAAACAAATATTCTGCAATATGAGTCTCTGTAATAGTTCCCATCTACTGCAGGAAAAAGCTTCAGTGAGACACAGACCCATAGGTATAACAGTCATATTGCTACATTTCTTTAGTATAACAACATTTGGTTGGTTTTGAAGTCACAAAATCGATAGAGATATGTAATAAAATTATAGTTAGAAAACATGATTTATG